TGTGAGTATTTTATAACTAATACACCGTTTAACTCTTCATGTAGTAGAGAAACAGAAGAATTTGTGAGAGTTGCAGATATAGTTCATGTGGTAAATAACGTATGTGAGTATTTTATAACTAATACACCGTTTAACTCTTCATGTAGTAGAGAAACAGAAGAATTTGTGAGAGTTGCAGATATAGTTCATGTGGTAAATAACGTATGTGAGTATTTTATAACTAATACACCGTTTAACTCTTCATGTAGTAGAGAAACAGAAGAATTTGTGAGAGTTGCAGATATAGTTCATGTGGTAAATAACGTATGTGAGTATTTTATAACTAATACACCGTTTAAATCTTCATGTAGTAGAGAAACAGAAGAAAATGTGAGAGTTGCAGGTATAGTTCATGTGGTAAATAACGTATGTTATTAGTTATAAAATACTCGCACCGTCTAAACTTCATGTAGTAGAGAAACAGAAGAAAATGTGAGAGTTGCAGGTATAGACATACATTTTTACAATACACAAAGATGATAGATCTGGAAGTATGATTTTGCTCAATCTTTAACCTTTCTTATACAAACTATTGTTTATAGTTTACAGTACACTTTAGTTAGAATAATCTCTTCTACATTCACACGTGAAATTGTATACAGCATTAAACAACGCACATGAAAAAAGAAAGCCGGACGAAAAATAATCCTCAACCAAGAACATTTTGATTACTCTACATTATTTCTGCAAATGTTTATCAAACACAAAGAACCTTGAGATTCCGAAGAAATCTAAACCGTAGGTACTGCGAACCTTTATTCATTCAATAGTAATTCTTAATACGAACACAATAAATGTTCTATTTCATAACTTCTCAGCCTGTGTCTTACTACCACTAAAACGTTGCTTACTCCAAGCCCGCGAGTCAGAAAAAGTGCATATTTTACACTCTATGTTTCAAATAAGCTTCTCTTTTATCAGCACGGTTTTCTATCATTGCACAATCTCCGAGAGAAAATATATTACTGTCTATAAAAACAGAAATGTTTGTAGGATTTCCAATCCCATGGAATTTTTACTTTGATTATATGCAAGTTGTGGTTTTATTGCTTGAAAACGGACTGGGAAAACAACTCGTGTTAGTCTGTTTTTCTTTTTCGATTTTATTTCTTACCCGGAATCGAATTGCTTCTTCCTACTTGAGTTTGTATGTCGAGTTGTAGATCGAAAGGTTCAGGGTTCGAGACATGACTCCGTTGAATACGCTCCGCATTTTTCAGTTGTGTGTACGTTATACAAGTAACAGTCAGTCCTTTTATCAGTTCAAAGAGCTGGACAAATCCCACGTTTCAGTGGGTGTTGCTGACTTACTGCCTTCACCCTGGGCAATATTTTACATTTAAGAAGTAATATACCTGAATTCCAGGGATTATGACATGACCTGGACGCTTAACCCATGTGCACATGAGATGCCGTTCAGGTTGTAAATTTTAGTTTCATTATATCCTAATTCTACGTACGTTATATATTTCTGTTTAACTATATAACCTTGAAATAAATGCTAACAATGTCATTTAGTAATGTATTACCGGTTTGATATTACTTCAACTACCAGTCCACTTTACGTTATGGAACTGGATAACGTGTGTCTTGGTTTAATCAGCTGTATATTCATTACTTGATTTCACCCATCGTGCACGTCATGTAGCTTTGGGTAAAAGCCTACTTTGGTGTATAATACAAATTTGATTTTTATAATAGCGTATACAGTTATATATATATACATAATTACATTTAGTAGCTTTGTATGGATACAGTTATGAAGATATTAAAATTTCATTAGTAATGAGTTGCAATGTCACTTTTAAAAGCTTATAATTCCTTCTTTTATAAATTTTTTACACTAAAGCTTCGGCTACGTAATTTTATATTCACGTACTTCATATAATGCATACGTTAAAATGATAAACCGTTTGAAGTTTTTTTTATTTTGTGTTTTCACATGATGAATAGATTATGTTTTGTTCATAAGATCTTTCATAAATGCCGCAATTTGAATGCCATCACCATTCTACTGTTGAATAAATTAAAAAAGTAAAATATGATTACCGTGTTTAATCTCATTCAAGCAGCCCTTTGACAGTCTCTGATTTGATTTGATTAGCATAAAATACTCTTTCAGATTGGCCTGGTGGTTAATTTTACGTACTGCGAATCGAAGGTCAAAAGTTCAATCTGTGATGCTGCTGAACACGACCCACACTTTAATTCTTAGGTGCATGTTAAGAATGACAATCAATCTCGTTATTGAGTCAAAAAGCTGGACAAGGCTGCTGATTGGTTGCTTTCCCTCTGATCGGTAGTTCAAAATTAGAGACGACTATTCCTGAATCTTGTGGCTTTCAGACCAGGTTGTTTGACCCATAAGATGCCAAAAAACGCCAAACGGTTTGTCGGATTTTACTTATGCTGGATGTTAATAGGTGGAAAAACTGTTGGATGTTACTACAATGAATATTTTGTTGAATTTAAATCCGCAAAAGGCTGTTTAATTTTACTAAAATAAACGTTTAGTTGGTTTTAATACAATGAATATTTTGTCAGTTGTTTTTTTACAAATATAGGCTCTGACAATTTTGTTATAGCGCACAACCACATATTGAGTTATCTACACTCTGTTCACTGCGGAGAGTCAAACCCCGGATTTTAGCGTTGTAAGTCCGTAAACTTTCCTCCGTTTCACCGGAAGGCCCCTCTGAAAAGAATTTATTCTTAAGGTCTATTCGTATTGTATTTTGTTACTTTTTCGCTAATAAATCCAGTTGTTCGTAGTATAAGTAAATCTCTAAAACTTTTCTAAGGTTGCTGAATTTATTTTCTTTTGTATTTAGAGAAAGTGCTCCCATTATATTAAGTCTTGAATCATTGAGTAAATCTTCACATGAGCGTCTACATGATACAATTTTTCATGTATTTAAATGAAATTCGGCCAATAAATGCAATGTTATGCATAACACACACACACACACAAACAATAACAACAAAACTAATCTATCCCCCGTATTAATTGCAGAGACCCTTTACGCCCATATAAAGACAGGCAGCAGCAAGCTTTGGGGCTTGCTTTAGCCGATATCATCTGGAAAGCTGGAACAGAGAATTCACGTTGTACAATATGTTTACCCGGAGATCGGGCACACTTGGAGAGGGAGCTTAACTACACTCCGGATGGATTAACGGAAAAGGTGGATAAGTAGATGATTTAGCATTGCTAGTTCAAATGTGTTTAGTAAATTTAACTAACAGAATATAATATATATTTACACGAGCCTATCTTACCACAGAAGTAATTCCTTTTTCTGTCGTACATAGTAAAACTTTTGTTTCTTTTGTTCACAACGTTTTACTATGTACAACTAATAAAAATACTGTACGAATTTTAAAAAAAACGTAGTTATTTCTAATATTTAATTCCTTTATCTTTTTTTTTGTCAAATATTCTGAATAAAAATGTTACCTTGATAAAATTTCACTCAAAACTCCATCATTATTTTTGAATTCTTGAGTTATATTAGTTCAAGAGACAAAGCTGTTTAAAAGAAATGGGAGATTATTTTGTTCTTTTGACCTTTTATAAAGCAGGTGTCAATGTATTCGTTAGAAGTCAATATAGTTTAATTTACCCATGTTGTTTTGAAAGTCATATAATCTATAATGTTTATTCCAATTTTAAGTGCACTGGAAATAGATTTTTATATCTATATTTAGGTTTTATAGCAGTAGACTAATTACATATTTTTCATCAACAGATAAATTTGTTCGAATTCCAGAGAAAAGAGGATACGGTTTGTTTTCTCGTAAAACACGTACACTTGGTAAGTTTTATTCCAGTTTTTTTCTTTAATTCAAATAATTCAACGCATTTACTATTCATTGCGACAAATAAGCTTTTAAAATATCATCTCATGTTTTTGTTTATCATAGAATAAGATACTATAATTTAAAACCGTTCGAAAAAAGGATATCCAACATGGATTTTATTTTATTTCTAAGTATCTTTTTAGTGAAAGAGTAGATGTTGATTAAAATATTGTTCTACGATAATTTTCATTTTATATATTTGGTTTAATGGAAAGCAAAATTATACTATGAATAATTTTTTTTATAATTTCGCACAAAACTATATGAGGGTTATCTGCGTTAGCCGTCCCTAATTTAGCAGTAAAAGACTAGAGAGAAAGCAGCTAGCCATCACCACCCACCGCTAACTCTTGGGCTACTCTTTTACCAACGAATAGTGAGATTGAATGTTACATTATAACTTCCCCACCGCTGAAAGGGCGAGGATGTTTGGTTGGACGGGGATTCGAGCTCCCTAATCACCTGGCTATGCCAGGCCTCTCTCCAGTAAGCTTGCCAAACCACTTTTCTCGGTATTCTGATCATTAGTTGAAGTTCTTACAAGACAGAGAAGCCAACGACCTTCATCTACACTATAAATGGGTATTAAACTCACACAAGACCTATCCACATGTCGTAACTTAAATCTACTTAAACATGGAAGGCTCTTGCAATATTAACGACATGCAATAGAGCGTACGTTATAATGTGACGGTCAGTCCCACTATACGTTGGTAAAAGAGTAGCCCAAGAGTTGGCGGTAGGTGGTGATAACTAGCTGCTTTCCCTCTAGTCTTACACTGCTAAATTATGGACGGCTAGCACAGATAACCCTCGTGTAGCTTTGCGCGAAATTCAAAAACAAACAAACTTACTGGAGTGATCGAAGGCCACTTAAAAATATTATAAGATGACTTCAATCAAAACAATTTCATATACCTTACATATTTTTCTGTTTCATAAATAGTTTGGAACAGGTGTCGTTTGCTAAGGAATTTTGTGGTTACGAAGCTCTAACCGATTTACAAGATTGCTATAGATGGTGCTCTTTGTACATCAGCGATTGATGATATCGTCTAATTTGACATAACGTTTGGTTGGAAAAAGATACAATACTTACTGTTGAAGTTCTAATTAACTTAAGAAAGAAAGTTATTTTCAAACATATACAGTCACGTGGAGATAAAAAAAGAGTTTTCAAAAATATCATAGTAAATTTTTGGCCTTAATAATGAACGCTTAAATCCAATGTTCTGTTCTGCAGGTTTTCAAACTATTTTGGTGTTTTTTTTTTATAAAACTATTTTCACAGCTTTATAACTAAAACATATTAACGAAAGATATATATTCGATGGAAATGCCGATACAATAGCAATTTTGAGCATGCAACTGAAGGCTAAAGGAAATATTTGGTTCCAAAAATAAAGAGGAGACAAATCTATAAAGTACTGGATATCACAAGCATTTCAATATTTTTTTTTCCATCGATAACGATACTGTGTACTGTCAATACGAAGACATAAAGATTTAAAAATACTGTGTACTGTCAATAAGAAGACACAAGATTTAACGATACTATGTACTATCAATAAGAAGACACAAGATTTAACAATACTATGTACTATCAATAAGAAGACACAAGATTTAACGATACTGTGTACTGTCAATAATAAGACACAAGATTTAACAATACTGTGTGCTCTCAATAAAAAGACACAAGATTCAACGATACTGTGTTGTGTCAATAAGAAGGCACAAGATTTAACAATACTGTGTATTGTCAATAAGAAGACACATGATTTAACAATACTGTGTACTGTCAATAAGAAGACACAAGATTTAACAATACTGTGTACTGTCAATAAGAAGACACAATATTTAACGATACTGTGTACTGTCAATAAGTAGACACAAGATTTAACAATACTATGTACTATCAATAAGAAGAAACAAGATTTAAATGTACTGTGTACTGTCAATAAGAAGACACAGGATTTAACATGTAACCTGTACGTGTGATATCTAATCTGCAAGTAATAGTGTGGTATCTAACCAGTAAGTAACAGTGTGGTATATATCACACATATACGTGTGATATCCAACCCGCCAATATGGTAATTAACCTGTAAGTGTGGTATATAACCCGCCAATATGGTATCTAATCTGTCAATATAGTATTTAACCTGCCAGCGTAGTATTTAACTTGTTAGTGTGATATCTAACCAGTCAGTATGGTATCTAACCAATAATTGTGGTATCTAACCAATCAGTGTGCTATTTATCCAGTTAGTGAGGTATCTAACCCGGATTAACGCTGTATGGTACAAGTTAATATACTTTCATAAACATGGCAGTGAGAAGTTTTGTCTAATCACTGGCTTGAAAAATTGTGTCAAAGATGTTGAACGTTCAGTCGAAAATCATGAATTAATTAAAGCAATTGATATAAAAGAGAGAATATCAACTAAACCAACATCCCTAACCGTAAGAACAGTATTGAAATATGCTTGGTGCTAGAGATTTAAATATAAATCCAAGCTTTAAAAAGTTGTACATATTTTATAAAACCTGTTTATGAAGTTAATCTATTCTCTATTTCTGGTTTCTTTAACTCTGCAGTTCCAGCAAGAAACAGGCAATGGCGTGATTGTACTTCTATACAGTATGATTTTATCCCGAGGTATAGACAGGTAATATTAGATACATAGCTAATTGTTTGCATTTTCAGCTATAGACGCGTCCACCTTTATTTAATTTCTTACTAAATTAGTTTAATATTATAGGTTTTAAAACTTTTCTCATATTTTAAGCGGTTTTTCAAACAACCATCACAATTCTAAAGTGGTTGATCAAAATTCGGGCCAGTTCCTTAATTAGAAGAACACTGCTGTGTAAGTCAATCGGAAATATACAAGTTAGTCGTCAAGATTTAGCAATTTAAGAATTAATTCAGAGAAAAACAAAGTTTTGAAATGGACTGGCTCTTAACTAAAATGTAGGCCCGGCATGGCCA